TATATATATATATGTCTTAAGTGAAGGAGCAAGTCCTCCTGGGGAGGCCTTTTGCATTCACTGAGGCATGGAATTTACATTAGCATATCTTTAAAAGCACTCTGTAGGGGAAATCATTTACAGCCACAAAGAGATGAAAGACAAAAAAGACAGTGGGTGTTAGAGACAATTCTAAAGGGATAGATACCAGGAGAATGTGGTTGACTCTGCCCACACAGTAATGATTCCTTCCACTTGCCTCCGAAGTTGGGAGTTGGAAGTGACATGAGTCCTAGACTGAATGCTTGGCTTTCTATCCTAATGATAGAGCCTAGTCAATGCTCTGCGATTGGCTCATTTAGCGAGTCACAAAAGCTCAATAGTGGCAGTACATATTGAAGCTTTTACAGTTTTACTGATGTTTACTTGAACTATCACCATCTTGGTTTGTTAAGTTGGGGTTGGTGGAGCTGCTCCAATTTTCTGAGTGGCAAGATATTTCCTATTTTATGCACCCTTGTATTTTTACGGTTGCATTTTTTCTATTGATATTTGACATTGAAAATATCTGTGGCTCATTTGATGGATTATGAGATGATAACTTTTATTCCCCAGTGGTTCCCAAACAAGATTTCCAGACAATAATTCCCCCCCAATCCTCTCACACTTTTTTCATGTGTTATCTGCTCTCCAGATGTTCAAAGGCCCTAAAAGATGGGCTCCATAGATCGAGTCAGCAGACTAACTGAGGAAATCAGAGACTGAGATATAATTTGTCTTGATTCCCCTTGAAGGAAGCCAGTCTGCAACTGTAACCCACCTCTGATGCACAAAGTAGACAAAACTAACATCATATGGATGAGTTACAACAGTAAAATGCTGCTTTTGGATTGCTGCACAAGTGAACATAGCTACAGTGAGGGCCTTGAGCCACTCAGGAAGAGCTGGGTCAGGAAGGGCATTCGGCATAAAAATGCCAAATAAAATGCATAGATCACTAAAATGCATCAGTGAAGGCAATCTACAGTGATGTCATATATAACAATACTTGATAGGGGTCCTTTTCAATCATTTTTAAGATTTAAGTTAGAATTCTGGGTCTGCTGTGTATGTGCTGAAAAGTGTAATATCGAGTTTCTGCTTATCATTATAGTTATTATTTAAAAAACTGAAAACGTTTCATTCACTACGTAATGAACTGATTTAATCCATTCCCAGCCGAGAAGACTGTATTTGTGTCTTTACTGACTTGAACGGAAATCGACAAGCTGTTGCTGAAATAATGAGAAAGGCTGCCCCCAGCTGGGCACAATAGGGAACTACTGCATTTTTGGAAACCTAGTCACTCTTTGGTAATTTCAGTATTTTTGTTTTTACGCTTGTTTATATGTCACAAAGACAAACGGGAATATTTTGGGGTATGCACTCGTCACTATAGTATTTTATTTTATTCTGTACAGTTGTGTACTGTATTTATTCTTATTATATTCTAATTTTTGCTACATAACTTTTGCACTGTCCACTTCCTGCTGTGACAAAACAAATTTAGTTTTGTAATAAAGGTTATCTTATCTTATCGTATCTTGGAGAGCGAATAAGGATCTTACAAGTGTTAAGGACGACAGCCAAAGTGCTAGTTAAAGTTGGTTTCCAATTACAATTCAGTTATGTTTTTTTTTTACTTCCTAGTTCAGTAATAACTTAAAATATGCCTGATCCAACAGGATTTGTGTTACTTTTTATTTCAGTTAAATAATATTTTTTGCAGGGAAAAATCTGCCGTGACCCGGATTCGAACCGGGGTTGCTGCGGCCACAACGCAGAGTACTAACCACTATACGATCACGGCGAGCTATCCGTGGGATGAGAAGCACGACTCGTTTACAGAACCCCTATGCTCGCATAGTGGTGAAACACTAAAATCCTATTAATTATGGCCAATACGGGACCAACAGAAAAGTCATTTAGAAATTCGAATTACAGTTTTTATCAGACTTTGCTGAGCGAGCAGCAAGTTACTTCTAAAACCGTGAGAGACACGTTTGCGGTCTGTTTGCTTATGGCTCTACCCTCTTCACGTAGTAGAGTGGACATGTTTTCTGTGCCTCGTGGTGTGGGCGTAGCCTACGGCGTTTTAAAAACGTATTCGCTTGCTGATTGGTCAACCGTCGTGTATTCATACGGATTCAATGCATTCTCTATACCCATTGGTTACGGGGTCGTTATCTCTCGTTTATCATTGGTTCAATAAACAAGACGTCCGAATTTCAAACTAGATTGTCTGTCAGTGTGTTGTCGAAGGAAGCGAGAGTGAACGTTTGCTAGCTAACAAGTGTTGGGTCTAAACGGCCATTTGGAAACAGTTAACATGTAATTAATGTTAACTAAGCTGTTTTTTAAAATTCATTTTATAAGCTACAAGATTGACTTTATTAATTACAAATGGCACAAGGCGTACATTCGGGACAGAGAGGATTTTTGGACTTCAGTCCAACAAGGAGAGACTACAAAGACAAAGAGAACGATGTTCCTGTCCTGAGTTTGATCCAGTTTTCAAAGGCTCCTTTCGTAACCTTTGGGTCGGTTAAGCTGGGTACCTCCAAGTCGGCTGTTCTGAGGATTGAGAACCCTACAGAGTATGCTGCAGCGGAGGTTTCTGTTGATAAGATCCCCTCAAGTAAAGGCTTTTCAGTGGACTGCAGCACGTTCAAAATCCAGGTATGTTTTAGCTTATACAGAAAATACACGAGTACCCATTCACACACCAGATTCCAAAATCCACGGGGATTTTCATATCATTAAATACACTCTTAAAGATTTCTGTTTATAAGAGTCGGTCCTTGTTTCCAGCCTGGGGGCTCGTTCACTCTGGTGGTGACCTGGACGCCAACCGAAGAAGGTGGGATCAGAGAGCTAATCGTCTTAAATGCCAGTGGTGTCCTCAAACACCAGGCTGTCCTGCTGGGGAGAGCAGAGGCACCAAAAAGGAAAAAGGTAAGCATCCACAGCTTTACACGGAGGCTCTTACAGCTAATGTTTTTTCCGCCTTCACTTTGCAGTATGTCTTGATGAGCAGCTGCCAAGTAAGAAAGCAGCAGTGAAGACATTATTTATTCCAAAATACACTGTTAATCATCGGAGGTCACGTCAGTCACTAAACAGAAGTGAAACCATGTGAAAAGTAAAACAAAAGCATTTTTAGATCAAGACAAGTTGTTGGATATGAAATATGGTCATTGATCTGTAAATTGTAATGTGCACGTAATGACAGATTCAGTGAAAACTGAGATATATTTATATCAGGATGTTCATCATTGTGTTGTGTCTGGTTTCAGCTTTTATTATTTTATTTTAATGTTGCCTATTGTAACAGTGTTTTTTAACATACATTGCATCCACTGGCCTGTCTCACTTGAGGTTAAGTTAGGCTGTATGTGAATGAATGACTTTAAGCTATTTTAGGTAAAGAATATCACATTTGACCTCATCAAATGAGAAAATGCCTTGCCTTTTTTGTACCAACAGTAAGATACAAAAGTAAGGCTTTTGGTGATATTTGGTGAGTTCAGTGCAGTTGTGATGTGTGCTTTCAGTAATAACTGATATGACTCTTTAGTCTGATTATTATGAGGCAGTTATAGCCTTAACTGGAGGCCTAGCTTATATGATTTGTTTTGTAGGCTGCAACTTTACACATCATTGAAAATGTGTGTGTGTGTGTGTGTTTTCAGAAGACCTTATGGGACACAATCAAAAGCAAGAGAGAGGGTGAAAAAATGACAACACTCAGAAGGAAGGTCGAGCACCCCCCTCTCAAGATGGCTGCCAATAAAACCTTCCAAGTGTCTCGAAATCCACAGTACAAACGGGACAAGCCACGCAGCCCGCTCGCTTCACTTAACGAGGGCAAAGGTGCCATAGAGAGGTCCCTAACCAAGCACAGCCCCGCTGGGGATCGCTGCCTGAAATCAGACAAGCAGAAAGCCTTAAATCTGAGCCAGGAGCAACAGTCTCTGGTCTTGCCAGAAAAGGAGAACGTCCAACAACTTAATAGGAACTCTCCGCTGGTTTTGCTTGTCCCGGCTGCACAGGTGGTAGACTCTGGTAGCATGTCCGCGAGCCCAGATGTCCTTGCAGGAAAACCTGAAAACAAAGATCTTACCAAAATCCTCAACAGGACGCTGTCGCCAATTGGGACGCCAGAGAGGTTTAAGAAGCTCATGCCTTGGATTGAGTCAGAAATCCCACTCCCTGCTACTGCAAAGTCTGCAGCTGCTGCTGCTGACAGTGAGTTACCTAGAAGCCCCCTCCCGTCTTTGAAAGAGGCCCTGTTTCTCATCGACTCTGATCTGATCGATGTTAACCCCAGCCCTCCAGATAATAATTCGAGCTGTAACTTTTCAGATTCGCTCGAATCTAACAGTGAAAAACACGGCTGTCGACCTGACACAGATGTCCTCAAAGCGTCATCTGGTAGCCCTGAGCTGTCAGAGTCCAGCGAGCCCAGACTTACTTTCTTTGTCAGCAAAAAAGCAGAGAAAGTGAGAGAGCTGTGTGTTTCGGAGGCTGATAAACTTCCTGAAGGGACAAAAAAAGGTTCTTTCACCTCTGCCACAGTGACAAAGGGTAAGGCACCGGTGGAGGCAAATGGTTCGAGTGGAAGGAAAATAAAGAAGTCACGACGAAGGCTCCTGCAGAAAACGCTGGAGCTGTCTGATGGCAGCTGTCCGTGTGAGTCGGGTCCAGAAAGTCCTAGCCTTCCTGTCATAGACTCGGACAAAGGAATCAGCCCGTGTGATGACAAACCTCAGGTCCCAGAGTTGATCTTCTCCAGCACCAGCCCGAGGCTCGCTGCCTCACCTGCACCCATCACCTTCCCTGTCTCCTCCCCTCCACCTGTGGCTCCTTCTCGCTTTTCTTTCTCAGTAACGTCCCCACCTCATTCAGTCCTTGTTCCTGTTGCTTTTACCGTCGCCTCTCCAACACCTGTGAGCTCATCTTCTCCTCATCATCATGACCTTTTGTCAAAATCTAAAGTGTACGAGCAGCCCCTAGCAGTTTTTACACCTCCTCATGTTCAGGAAGACTTGTTTCCCGTTAACGTAGTAGCGAAGAGCAAGAAGAGGAAGAGTGAGGAATTTCTGAAAACTGATGGGAAGAGTGAAGATGACAGGAAAACCAAGCAGGTAAAAAGGAGCAAGGTAGTTCCTGGGAAAACCGAGCCCTCCCGATCAGTCCACGAGAGGAGAGGTGCATCACAAAGGCAGAGAACATCAGGTGAGCCTCCTTCAAGAAGGTTGTTCATGTCTTTGTTGAGTTGGAGGCTGTAGCTTGTGTGTCTGCTGTTTTAGATATGCTTTATACTAACAGCTCTATTATGTTCAGAGAGAGGAGGAATAAAAAAATCTAGACTATATCTCCACAAACTTTAAATCAGCTCCTTTTGAATTGTTTAAGCTACTTATGCTCAACACATTTTTTTTCTTTTTTGTATTTATTCATTTCACTTTCAATAAAAGGGTTGCTGGTGATAGTGATATATGGCTCATGCCAGTATCGGTTGATGTTGGTATCAGCCGATGTTGTCCTTGCTGACTGATTATTAGTGGATGTCACTGGCGGATATTTATCTGTCACATCAGTTTTGCAAACTGGCTACAAAACCAGAGACAGTTCAGTTGATTTTAAAAAGATTTCATTCCCTAAACAAAGGGCTAAATGACAGACAGAAAAAATTAAATTTAGCCATCCATCATGGGAAGCTGGAGTTTCTCTCAGTCTGTCACAGGGTTGTAAAATAAAATAAGAACGGAAAAGATATCATTATTTTAAACTTTGGCGCTGGACTCGGAGCACGGGGTGTTATTTTCAGGCCGTGTTTGTAATATTGGCAGTTTGAAGGTGCATAACCTGCTGACGGTTAATGTCCTTATATTGTGGATTTATTGAAGTCTGATGCAATTTCTATCCCTCCCCGTAGGCTCAGTTCGCTCAGTGACCGCATCATCTCTAAGGACTATGAAGTCTGCAGTTCCCGCCCAGGCTAAGCTACCACACTCCAAAGCAGTCTCACAAGGTATACAGGAATAGGTTGAAAAATTGGGGTTAAATAATGCTTATAATCCTTTCTGCACTGTTACAAAAATGGATATTCGTACAACTCAGGGCTAAAGTTTTAAGTAATAAGTTAGCTTGCATACAAGTCATTCGTACGAGCTAAAAACTCTTTTCCTTGACTTTGATAGGAAATGTACCATTGGTGGGGAAAAAACAAAACAGCTTAATTAAAAGGATTGGAAAAGAGTGTGTTTAGCCTATAAAGTGACATGAAGTGCTATCATCTATCTTAATCACTTATCCAGTTCAGGGTTGCAGGGGATGGACGTAGTCCTGCTGTCACAGGGTGAATGCCAGGCTGACAGGTTGCCAGTCAATCATTTAGCTTTTTCTTATTATGGTTATCAGAGATGCTTTGAGTCACTTCATTCAATAAGCATCCTCCTTAAAGAAAATTGACTACTCCATCACAGCCATAAGACCAACACAGATTATTTTGATCTGTGTGAGTCCAAAGATAAAAGTATGGAGCTGGAAAAGGGCATAATATAACACATATAACATAATATATGTTTAACTGCAGCAAAGAACCAAATACTTCATGTGATTGTGTGCCAAGAGTGGAACTGTGGTCATTTATGTGGGAGTCAGGAGTCACAGTGAAGTATGTGAGGGTGGTGCAAGACATGTATGAAGACATGTAGGAATTTCAGGGTGGCTGGAAGGTATGGTCAGATAGGAGTCTCTTCAACTATCTTTACCCATCACACGACTCACTATGAGCAAGGATTTGGTGACAGTGGGAAGGAAAAACTCCCCTTTAACAGGAAGAAAGTTCTGACAGAACCAGGCTCGGCGATCTGCTGCGATTAGTTGAGGGAAGGAAGAAGAGTGAAAGTCAGTGGAAGTGTGATAGAACATACGTGTGTGTGAATGAAGGATGATACCCTGTTACGACTCATAAAGGGAGCAGCTGATGATGATGAGGATAATGGCGTCAATAACAGTTCCTTCTGTTGTTCACAGGTGCTCCATCTCGAAAGGCACCTGGTGCTCCCTCTATGAAGACAGCAAAAGTAATCGCTGTGGCACAGTCGAAGCTGAGCTTTATTAAGCCTGCACAAACAGGTTTGTGAACATTGGAAGAATGATAAACACTATGAAATGAGCTTTGTGATTTGCTTTTATCTTTAATTTGTTTGTTTTTTGTTTTTGTACTGTTTTCTTTCAGCTCTACCCAGACACCCGATGCCGTTTGCTGCCAAGAACATGTTTTACGACGAGAGGTGGATAGAGAAGCAGGAGAGGGGTTTCACATGGTGGATCAACTACGTCCTCACCCCAGATGACTTTAAGGTCAACACCGAAGTCGCCAAAGGTAACAGGCAGCAGGCTCAAACATGAGAAGATCATGGTAACACCTTAAATATCTCTAACCTCTTAAATCTGGACCCTCCTCTTGTGTGTCTCGTGTAGTAAATGCTGTGTCCCTTGCTATGGGCGGTGACGACAAGTATAGTGTGCCCAAAGCTCCCACCAAAGAGGAGATGTCCTTCAGCACTTACACAGCCAGACGCAAGCTAAATCGCCTCCGTCGCTCCGCCTGTCAGCTGTTCACATCTGACGCCATGGTCAAGGCCATTCAGAGGCTCGAATTGGAGGTGGAGGCCCGGCGGCTGCTTGTCAGGAAGGACCGCCACCTTTGGAAGGACATAGGTAAGAGTCCTGCTTAATGAAAGCTCAATGCTCTGAGATTCCTGTCACTAAGGCCTGTTCGTGCCATCTTTCAGGTGAACGTAAAAAAGTCCTCAACTGGCTCCTCTCGTACAACCCTCTGTGGTTACGGATCGGACTTGAGGTATTCTGACACATGTTTTGTTCTGGTGTCCATTTCCAACAATGTTATTATTATTTATTTTTTTTACCCTGAATATTGCTCATCTTCAGACGATCTACGGAGAGCTGATCTCACTGGAAAGCAACAGTGACACCTTGGGCCTGGCTGTGTTCATCCTCCAGCGACTGCTGTGGAACCCGGACATTGCTGCAGAGTTCAGACACCCCCGAGTGCCCCACCTTTACAAAGATGGTAATTTGAGAGGATGTTGGGTCAGCGTCAGAGCTAATAGAAATACCAGGAGAGCCGAGACTTTTAGTTTAATTGAATTCAAAGTAATTAAAAATGGGGCATTGTTTGTGTGTTTATCAGCCCAGGTTTGCTTTTGAATTTCCCACTTGAGCTGTAGCACAAGTCTCGGTTTGCCTTTATCATCACCAGACAGAAACACTTTATTATAGAAAATTAACAACTTGGGCATGAGTGCAACCTTAATTAACCGACTTCTTGTTATTCCTTCGCTGACTCAAACTTTTAATTTCCTTCTAACAACACAACAAAAATGACATTTTGCACTGGAATAGATGTGCTTTATATTATTAGACCGAGAAAAAAAAGAAGTAAAATAGATGAGGAAATGGGCAGCACAACCAAATAAATATAACTAAATAATAAATATAGATACAGTGTGCATGATGCTCAATGTTATGCTGCCAGATCTATAACTGTCTGAAATGTGCAGCTGAAGTTGCTTCAGTTGATGTGATGATTATTGGATGATCATGATTATTCAAATGTTCCAAACACAAACATAATTGATTAACACTCAGGTGAAAAACAGGATGTTTCACTTTTTCTTTTCCCCTCTTCACTTTGAGTAACCGATTACTTTTTGAATGTGATTAGTTCTCATGAGGCTTAAAGATCACTTTGGATTCATTGGATTAATGTCCCAAAACCTCTAATGTTGTTTTATTCCTAAAATTAATCTGGGAACATAATGCTGAAGAGCCCAAGACAGATGACAGAGCAAAGGATGAAGGAAATACTTTCCTGATTTTGTAGATGTTTGGAATTCCTTTTTAATCCCACTTGCAATTAAATAATTCAAACAACTTGGGAGTGTAAAGACTACTTTTTAAAACAAGGATATCTTGTGATCAAAATAAGAAGATTTCCTTTGTAAACTGGAAATTGTCTTGATTGTCACTGTATGAATGCCTGTTTACCTTTTCTCGGTTAGGCCACGAGGAGGCGCTGTCCCGCTTCACTTTGAAGAAGCTGCTGCTGCTCGTGTGTTTCCTGGACAAAGCCAAAGAGTCCCGGCTCATTGAACACGACCCCTGTCTGTTCTGTGTTGATGCTGAGTTCAAGGTACGCCAGAGACACAATGTGTCACCAACAAACATTTGTGGAAAATTACAATTTTTGTACATTGAATAAAAGCTTAAGATAGTTACTCTTTTCTTGGTATTGAATGGGAGAGCATATGATGTCATTGTGCTTTTGGAATGATGATAAAGAAAAAAAAGCTTAAATAGGTTAAAAAGATGAGTCTTGAACTGCTTTTTGAGTATACTGAGCTCATGGATCAAAGAATCGAGGAGAGAGATTTCAAGAGTAAGGTCACGATTGCAAAGGCTCAGTTAGCTTTAGTTAGTTTTTCTTCTAGATTCAGGGATGGATAATAAGCTCTGATCAGGCGACCCAAAAGTCCTGGTGAAAGTTAATCACTGTACAGATATGCTTCATGAAGAGGCCTGAAGATAAAAACTAGAGGTTTGAATTGAATTCGAAATTTAATGGGGAGCCAGCACAGTGAGATCTGCAGAGGTGTGACGTTAGAGGTCTCGAAGGATGTGGTAACGAGCCACGCAGCAGCGTTTTGCACAAGCTGGAGACGATCCAGGGAGGTTTTACTGAGGGAGGCGAAGAGTGACTGAAATAAAAGCTTGAAAAACAGTTTCCCCTCTTCTGGTCTTTTTGGCTTGTGTTAACCTCTGTCGTGCTATGTACTGCTCAATTTTTTACATTTTTATTTAACAGGCAAGTAAAGACCTGCTGCTGGCCTTCTCAAGGGACTTCCTGAGCGGAGAGGGGATCCTCCCGCGGCACCTCAGCTACCTCGGGTTACCCGTCTCCCACGTTCAGACGCCCCTGGACGAGTTCGACTTCGCTGTGAAGAATTTGGCAGTTGACTTAAAATGTGGCGTTCGTCTAGTGTGAGTGTGTCGGCATGAATTTTAATGCGATGCTCGGATCCCAGATGTGTGTGTGTGTGCTTCTCTCAGAGGTCAGGCTCAGATAGGCAAGGGAATTGGGAGCTAAGGACTCTCAGACAAGGCGGTTTCAGACAGGGGATTTCCTTCCTTGATTTCTCACTGAAGGATTGGCTCTTTGACAGCCCTGACAGTGGTTCAGTTTGTGTCTGTGAGTCTGTTAAATTATAATTAATCTTTTTCAGAGCAAATCTTTGACTCCATTTTATTTGTCTCAGGTTCCCTACAGGTTATGATGCAATTTAATGTTACATATTTTTCTGTTTTGTTATTACATGGGTTTTTTTTTTTTTTAAATATCCTGTATTTCAAGTGGGTATGTTGCCCCTAATGTTGTCCTGTACTCTGATTGGCCAACATGTAGTTAGGGTTATAACAGCATTTAATTAAATGTATTTAAAGAATTCAAATTGACATGAGCCAGATTTAAATTGCAAAAGCTGGATTTGACCTTGACTAGCCCTGTATGTGTGGATCAGGTTCTCATTAGATACTCGTTTATGTTCAGCTGCTGCTGCTGCTGTGGGATTTAAATGTGTGACATAAACATTTCATTGCATGACAAATCAGTTGAAGCGATGATGATGATGATGATGATGATGGAAGCTAAGGATCATCTTTTTGCTTTAGGAGAGTGATGGAGCTCCTTGTCCAGGACTGGAGTTTATCTGTGAAGCTCCGCCTCCCGGCCATCAGCCGCCTGCAGAAGGTCCACAACGTCGATGTCGCTCTACAAGTTCTCAAAAGCAAAGGGATCGACCTGAAGGACGAACGTGGTAATTAATCAATTTCTGAAAATCAAATTTGTATATACTGTTTAAGATATGAACATATTCGTTGTGTTTTATATTCAGACACTTTCTTTGGAAATCTCACTGCTATAGTTTTGCCTTGAGTGTAAACGAGTTCTATATCACCTTGTAGTCTGCTGACTTTCTTTCTTACTAAACTTTATTGAGCTTACATGAAAAGAAAATTCAGAACTTTGCTTTGATGGTATTTAAATGTTTTGTTTTTATTTTCAGGCTCAACCATTGATTCAAGAGACATTGTGGATGGACACAGAGAAAAGACGCTGAGCCTGCTGTGGAAAATCATCTTTGCATTTCATGTGTGTATGCCTTTGTTTCCCCCATTTGAGAACCCCCATCCCAATAAGTGAAGAGAGTTGATTGATATGGTGTTACTGCATCATATGTTCAGGTGGAGGTGATTCTGAATGAGGATCAGCTCAAGGAGGAGATTGGCTTTCTGAAGAAAAC